AAGTAATGCTTGGTTGTACGTAGCGCCACAACTAGAGCTGTTTACTACAGTATGTCAAGATGGACAACGACATTCTGGTCGTTTGCAAGGTAGAGGTATCCTAGTATTAAGACAAGATTGTAAAGGATTAGGTAGTAAAAGCATCCTATATCCACTTTCTAGGCAGAGTCCTTTCCCACGAGATATTGAAAATACCATTACTGATATTCAGTAATATTAGGCAAACGTCCTTCTTGAGATAATTAATTATAATTAACCTGACGACGGCGGAGTAACCAGCCCGGCTACGCAACACTCACACATACGATAGGACTCCTTGGGCGAGTGATCAGCTCGTCGCAAGGCCTCTATCTGTAGACAAACACAGAAAAACGCACACAAACATCAATGCCCTGAGTGGGATTCGAACCCATGATCCAGGTGCCCGAGCTAGCGAAGACAGGTTACATACATACATACACGTACATAATTCATAAATTCACTGATCCGTTGTCCTTATCGGACCGGATATTGAACTCGTCAAAATAAGACTTATTGCAGAAATACAATCGTGTCAACAGCAAAGAACCACACACAACCAAAAGCACCAAATAATCATAATATACATTGTCATTCATAAACAAAATTACAAGGAATATAGTTATTAAATGTTATACAAGGTTAACAGAAATATATTCATCTATTGAATAAAAAGCATTTGTTGTGAGGAAACTTTTCAATGTGTGTTTAAATATCTTCACATTATCACGCATCCTTTGTATATTTTGAGGAAGATTATTATAAACCATAATGGATGAATATAACACGCCTTTCTGGATTGAAGATAATCTCACTGATGACACATGTAGCTTTCCAAACTGTCTTTTGTTTATATGATGAATATTATTGTTGGTTTCAAAAATATTGCGATTTCTGCGATTACGTCACAGTAAGAAGCGGTGCCACGCAGCCCGGGGGGGCTATGTCACCGTTGTCAGAGCTGCCACGTTTGGGGGAGGGAGGGGTTGTCCTCCATTGCGCAACATGTCACAATATATTGATTTTGACCAAACACATTGCAATAGTAGTTTCCGCCTCTATTGATATTGTGACA